ATTCCCACAAGGAAAAAATTCCAAAATAATATTTATTAAATTGAAAAGAAGGTAAATTTCAAATTTATTTCGGTTTATGGTTAAGTGAATAGGGTTTAAAGTCTTGCAATTAAAGGATTGGGGTTAGTGTAAGGTTTAAGATCTGGATTTATTTAGTCATTTTATCATTTAATAAATGCAATTTTGGAGTTTTTTTTTTATTTGAGTGCTATTTTTATGATAAACTTTAACAGATCCTATTTTTGGAAATTTTGTTTATAAAATTCAGTAGGAGCCATCTTACCAGGCATGCGTTCTACCCTGTTTGGAGGGTTTGATATGAATGTGACTTTCTCCTGTTGAAGGGCAGGTTTAACGATAAAGATCTCAGCACCAAAAGAACAAGTGTCTTGCATCATGTAACCTGCATTCGTGTTGTAGAGTGTTGCAAGAGTAATCAATTGTCTGAATCCCCACTCTTTGTTGGCATCGTTGTATCTTTTAACCGTTCCATCTACAATAGTTGCCAAATAATAGTAGAAGTGCGTGGAGTTAATGTTGGTTAGTATATCTTTATCCCTAAGCAGAATGGATCAAGTAAACATCTATATACATAATTAAGTACCTGTAACAGTCAAGTACTTGTTATGCTTCTTATTGTAAACAAAGAGTTTGAGATCGACATTGACTTCCCAACCCTTGGGAAGAGAGTTTGTATCTTCGATTCTTACGTAAAGTGATATATGATTGTTTCCTCCATCGGTTTTATTACCGGTCACGTACAATATCAACCTCCTGATAAGTTCATATCAAAAACAAATTATAAAACCATTTCTAACATATATTACAGGCTTTTTTCTATAAAAAAAAAAGAGAGAAACTATGTAATAGAGATTAAATTTGTTCAAGTATTTCTCAAAAAATAGCAATCAATGTAGAATAAAAAACAGTAAATGGATATGTCTCCCTCTATAAATAGAGAAAAATGGAGATAAGTTGAAAAAAAAGTTTTGTCTCTAATGATATTATAGAAATAAATATCAAGATGAACTGTAAATACTCTTATACTCTAGAACATGTAAAAGTTAAACTAATAAAATAGTAAGGAATGACAAACCATTTGTAACCAGAGGCCTCAAACACAGAGGACTCGTAGGGTTCGGATCTCTCCTTAATCACAGAGAAGCTTTCGATTGTCAGTATCTTACTAGATGGTCGCTCTTCTCTCAACGTTCTTACCATTTCAACTTTTAACAAATAAAAACTATAACTGCAAGCCTGCCAAGATTTACCCCGATGCTGCAAGAACTGTTACACATTTATATAGACAAACACGTAACAAAAGTAAAATACTGGAAATGGATTGGATGTGAAATAAAACGAGAAAGAAAAGAATACGTTCGTTACTTTTCCTGTTTTTGCTTGTTTGAATATGAAAAGTATATGCTTCGATTTTAGCACAATTATGCAAAACAAAGAAATAATGAAGCGGCAATATGGCAAAAAATATAGCAAGTCATTTGGCTATAGTTCTCTCATGTTTACTAAAACTTAAAAACCAAGCGTTTCATTTCACTGATAACAAAGTAGACAACAGACACCCAATGAACAGAAATGAAGGTTACATCACAAACATTGACAACTTCATCTTATAACAAACTCATCACACGCCTCTTTATTCATAAAGTTTGTTTGATCCATGAAAAAAGAGTTAGAGATCACTAAACCGAGACGATGTTGGTCACAGAGACCTTAACCATTTCAGCTTCAAAGACAATAGCATCATTCACCAAATACCCCTTTGATGCATCGTTTAAGTCTGCTAACAATATGATATTGTTCACTCCCACACCATAATCACTTCGAATAGGGTACCAAGCTGCAGCTGTAAATCAAAATGATCGATATCAACTATAAATACCTTTCACTCATATTTTTCGCCAAGCGAGAAACATTTTATTTTGTTTAGTTTTCTTACAATATATTTGTCTGTGGTTGGTGCTTCGTTGATTCTTTAACCGCAGATTAACCGCTCCCCAAGTGTTTGTAGCGACTGCGTTTGGCCTAAAGCCTTGAGCAAATAAGAAGATTGGAAGTGCATGTGGTCTTCCTCCTCCATCTCCTTTCGGGTTAAACCCTAATCTCCTGATTATACATTAACCAAAAGAATGATACTTATTACCAAAATGCTAAAACGGTATAAGCAGCACTTAATATCTCCTGATTTTGATTAGTTTCCTTACAATATGTTTCTAAGCGGTATAAGCAGTGTCTAAAAACCTGTCTAAGCGCCAATCTTTTGTCTAGCGATTTTTAGAACATTGGTTATTACACTTGGTCACTACATGAATTTGTGTGACAACTGCATGCTTTGGGATCAAGTACTAACCAGTATCGGTCTCCAACGAGAAAATCAGCAGAATAGTAAAATTTATCTTCCAAGTTAGAGAAACGAAGTATCTTCCAAGTAAAAATATTGTCTGGAGGGTTTGATATGAACGTGACTTTCTCTTGTATCTCAGCCGGTTTAACGATTAGGATCTCTGCACCAAAAGAACAAGTGTCCTGTACAATGTACCCTTCGTTGGTGTTCTCGAATGTTGAAAGAGCAATCAACTGTCCGAATCCCCACTCTTTCTTCCCTGCGTTGAATCGCTTCACTGCTCCATCTGCCATCCACAATCAACTCAATCATTTTGGCTTATAAACTAGTTTCTAACAACTTTTACAACTTCCAAATAGATGTAGCAAGCAAAATATGAAAAATCTAATGGAGTATGAATGATGACAAAATATCCATGACCAGAGTAAACATTCGCATTGCCTCCCAAATTTTTAATTAATTAATATTCACTCTGTTCCTAAAAGATCCATAATCTAATTTTTTCACATTTTTTTTAATAAAACACAATAAATTTCCATAGTTTTTGTATTTACTTTTTTCCATAATTTTAAACCAATAAAAAAGTAATTAGTACAATTAAGTTTTTTGAAGTTTAAAATTAGTTAATAAAACATGCATTAAAAATATAAAAATAGATCATTTAGAAACAATTCTTTTTTTTTTTAGAATATCTACTCTATTAAAATATAGACATTTTTTTATCTACTGATACAAGTTGTCATTTAAATTTGGACCTTTTCTAGAGTGTTACAAATAATACAAGTTATATAGTTGATTGAACCGCATTACTTAAATTAAACCGGCGGTTATTTATGGAATAGAGTGGCTTACTTTTGTTTTTATGACATTTAATTGTTTGGTTTTTGGGATTAGTATTAAAGAAAAACTCCAAAAAACATTAAATAAACTTTCCATCTTAATGGATCAAAAATCAATTACTATTTTCAGGCCCAAAAATATTTAATATTTTCAACAAAACAAAATTATCTATTATTAATCACTTATTTAAATCATGAACTTTAAAACATGTTAATATTGTTTAGCCCAAAAATATTTAATATTTTCAACAAAACAAAATTATCTATTATTAATCACTTCTTTAAATCATGTATTTTAAAACAGGTTAATATTTTTTATTTTAAATAACAATCACTCTATCTTGATAAATTTTAATGGTAACTTTTAAATAATTTATTGTTTTATTTTTCTTAAATAATTTACAGATTTAGAAAAAAAAAATGTAAAGAAAAACCAAAAACCAAATCTAAAAACTAAAATCCAAAACCAAAAACTGAAGACGCAAGTTATATTTTTTGTTTTTTTTTATTTACAAAATAAACTATTTCAAAGTTTTTAGAAAATTATTTTGTCATCTTTTCAGTTTTAAATTACATGTTCGGTTAATTGAGATTTGTTTGTTGGTAATATCAGCTCAAACTAACTCAGCGGGTCTAAAAATTAAAAACCTAAACCAAAAGCTGAAAATCAAAAATAGAAACTAAAAACTAAAAACCAAAAACCAAAATTTAAAACAAAATCTAAAAATAAAAACTGAAACGAAAAACTAATGAAAAACAACTATCACCACAAATTTTGGTAAACTAATTTTATACCAAAACATTCTTTAAATTAAGACAAAACCCAATTATATTATATAATTTTTTAATCATAAAAAAAATCAAAAGCTGAAAACGCAGGTTATATTTTTTACTTTTTTTATTTACAAAATAAACTATTTCAAAAATTTTAGAAAATTATTTTGTCATCTTTTCAGTTTTAAATTACATGTTCGGTTAATTGAGATTTGTTTGTTGGTAATATCAGTTCAAACTAACTCAACGGGTCTAAAAATTAAAAGACCAAACCAAAAGCTGAAAATCAAAAATAGAAACTTAAAAACTAAAAACCAAAAACCAAAATTTAAAACAAAATCTAAAAATAAAAACTGAAACTAATGAAAAACAACTATCACCACAAATTTTGGTAAACTAATTTTATACCAAAACATTCTTTAAATTAAGACAAAATCCAATTATATAAATTTTTAATCATAAAAAATTTATGCGCTTTTTAAGCGCGTATCAAAATCTAGTGTATGCTTAAGGAACAGAATTAGTATTTTATATCGTTTGACCCTCCATATGGAATTATTTTAAATCTCGTAAATCTCAAGATCGTTCTTGGATATACCTGTGACAGTCAAGTACTTGTGAAGCTTTGGATTGTGGACAAAGAGTTTGAGATCAACATTGACTTCCCAACCATAAGGAAGAGATTCAGTCTCTTCGATCCTGGCGTAAAGTGATATGTATCCAGCTCCACCATCGTGAGTATTACCAACCACGTACAAAACTAATCTCCTGTTTTATTTTGCCATTAAAATAATCTTAAATACTAAATGCTAAAGAAATGAAAAATAATGTAAAGATTTTTACCATTTGTAACCAGCAGCCTCAAAAACAGAGGACTCGTAGGGTTCGCCTCTTCCCTTAATCACGGAGTAGCCGGCTATTGTCACTATCTTACTTGATGGTCGCTCGTCTCTCAACACTCTGGTCACTCCTGTCAACAAGACAACAACAAGTATTGAATTTCAATCAGTCATCAAAAAAATCCAACGAAACACGGTTTCAGCACAGCAAGCTCACCAAGATTCGCTTCAAGATTGTAAGAACTGTTGTTCTCAGTTCCTCTGCCTTGTGTGACCTGTTGAAGGAGGAACTCAGCAGAAGAGCAAGTGATGAAGAGGAAAGCTAGAGAAATGAAACCTAAACTCCTTTTTTGAGTATCCATTTTTTATGATCTGATTTGGTTTTGGGAAGGATTTACATTTATATAGACAGACGCATCATGGCACTTATTGAATCACAAATATAAAATAGTGAAAGTGGTTTCATCATGCGAAAAAGAACTTTTCTACACGTTTTCTTTTAAATAAAATATTGAGATTGTTTCAAATAAATAAATAATAAGGAAAATTCCATATAAATACCCCAACTAAATTTTATTAAGCTTTTTAATACCCAAATTTTTTTGCTACTCAGTTTAATACCCCAACTAATTATTTTACCCATTTAATGTACAAACTTTTATAAATGTGTCCATTTTATTACCCAAGCTTTGTTTATTTTAATTAACAATACGAATAAGTTTCCAATAAAAATTTTAAAATTTCTAAACTCTACAAAAAATTGATTTTATTATATGTTAGAGAACTGAAATTAAATATTTTTTTATAATCTTAAGTTTTGTAATAAGTTTTTTTTTAAAGTTTTATATATTGAATTTAGTTTATTTACTGAAATAAAAAGTAAATTATTTTTTTTTCCTTCAAAATTATTTTTTTAACTTCTTTCTTAAATCTTAGAGTAAACATAGAAATTTTAAATATTTTTCTTAGATTTTGGAGATTTTTTTTAAAAAAAATTGAAACTTATTAATATTGTTAAAAAAAATAAACAAAATTTGGGTATTAAAATGGGCACAGTTGTAAAAGTTTGTAGATTAAATTGGGCAAAATTATTAGTTGAGGTATTAAATTGGGTACTGAAAAATTTTGGGTATTAAAAAGCTTAATAAAATTTAGTTGCGGTATTTATATGGAATTTTCCCTAAATACTTTTTGAGATATTTTTAAAATGATTAGGCTGCACAAGTGGGGGTGGCAGCTAGAGAACTGAAGAAAGCATTAAATGATCTCAAGATTTTAGCTTAGATATTTAGCAGACAATTTAATCACCAATAATTGAAACCAAGTCGTGAGGAGATAGTTTTAGTTTTTGTCACATGGGTTACTATTTTTGCTTGTTTAAATATCAAGTTCGAATGTTTCAAAAAAATAATAAAATAAATATCAGGTTCGAAATGATTATTATGGATTTTTGGAAGA